GGTTGCCCGCCCCGCTGCCGGGCCGGGGTCCTCAGCGGCGAGCAGCCTCCCGGCGGCGGCAGAGCCCCCCTGTAGCAATAGAGTAAGCGTAAGTGACACCCCTAATTGACTGTCAAGCAATTAAGTGTAATACTAATAAAATACCAACAGCTCTTAATAACAGTATTTAACAGGAGCAAGAAGACAGGGAAGTCAGTAATGGGAAGCCTGTAAATGGCTGTAACGGTACTAATTGCTTCCAAGGTACTAGTCTGTCCGCAGGCAGCGTGCGGTGACTCTAACCCTTGAGAGCCCTGTGCCGTTTCGGGACTGCGCAGGGAAGGACGTGCGCCCTCCAGGCCATCCTTATTCAGCGACGCGTGCTTCCCCTTCCATACCTCCCCATCTTAAAACCTCTCCTGCTATGCAGCAGAGTTAACTTGCCAACACCATATTACCCAGAGACTGTGAAAGGCTTAGAAATTTAACCGTCACGTAGTGGTAACAAACCTTCCAGACCGATCCTACTTCCCTTATTTGTATGCTCAGTACAAGATGGTCAGATCAAGCTTTTCGCATAGTTACAGACGCCTAGGTTGAGTACCACAGCCCGTCTGATCTACGTGACAGTAAACCCACTGCTCTGTGCTGTCTGTCCTGGGTCAGACTGCCTCTGGAAAATGACAGCAGCAGTTAGTAGCACGTATTTCCTCTAAGCCTTGTTCACGTTCAGCTTTCATATCTCTCTGCCAGAAAAAGATGCCACCGTCAGAGGGCTGCAAGCTGTGGTTGAAATGTCCTCTACTTTTCTGTTGACCTCAGCTGGATGTGTGCCCCCGCATCTGCATGGAAGAGAAGAGCACGCAGAACGGAAAGCGTTCCACTTCCTCGGCAAGCTAACAACACTGCCGCAAAAAGGCCAGGGAAGGACAAGCCCCTTCTCCCAAAACACAGCAGAAACTGGTCAACGTAGCAAAGAATTGGAGTACGCCCTGAAAGATGCTAGCGCCTCACTTAGATGATAGAGCGCCGTGCTGGGTATGAGAAGATGGGCAGGGGAAATCTTCTGTCGCTCTGTTTAATCTCAGTACTGGGTCAAATGTCAGTGGCTGAGTTAAACTCTCTGACCTTATTTTTGTCTTCAGCATTTGTAATTTAAACTTGCGCATCAAAACCTTCTCACAGTTTAGTTCTAAGGCTGAATTCTTGTTTTTGCTAGTATCGATGCCCTTATGACTAAGAGAAGGATTTTACTGTTAAAACTGTAGAGTTAGGTCAAAACCCCTGGATGCTGTTCCCTCGTGTCATTCTTGCCATTATATTAGTAGGTAAGCCACTAAGAGCCGCGTTTTCAGAAATGCCAAGTACCTACAACTTCCACTGTGGGAAATGGGCACTGCAAATATTTAGCATCCTTGAAACTCAGATCATTAATGGCTTTTCTCATTTGTTTATCCAATGCAAAAAGCAGGTATAATAGCTTTCTTTTATCACTCAAGGGTGTTATTAGTGTAAATTAATAAGAATTTGCAAAGTTCATTTAGATCTTGGGATTAAATGGCTCATTTAAAGGGGCTGTTACTACATAAAAACAAACATATGCACGAAACAAGAACATTAAATGCATGCAATCATTCATAATGTGCACTCATATGGCCCCTCTCGCCTAAGGTTTTCTAAGAGCTAGACAAACAATTAATTTAGCCAAACAACCCCCGCTGTGAGGTAAGTAGTACATAATGGTTTTATTTTACTGAGGCAGAAACGTGCACAGAGGTTAACTACTTTGTCCACTGCTGCAAAAATATTAATACCAAATTACCGAAGCCACGTATGTGCCCCTACTTTGATTACTACCAAACTCGCTTATTGTTAAGAAATAGGTGTACAAACACATATCCTATGATATGTGCTTGCATGCCTTTCTTGGAGGGGAGAGAGATTGGGAATTAAAATGTGGAAGCTTATTTTCCTAATGGATCCTTTAATAGATTCAGCTTTCTAGAGAAGGTTAGCAATAGAGTGCATATTCGTATGAGGCATACCTATGATCCATGTCAAATGAGAGAGCCTTACATAAGTAATTTTTAGCTAGCTAGAAATCATCCTCTTTAAGCATCTCTGCAAGGTTGATTCTGTTTTATTGATTTCTTAAAAGTTATCTTGGCTACATAGTTTCAGGCAGTAATAAAAGTACCTTTTACAACTTTTTCGACATAAGCCTCGAGGGCTTCCTAATTTATATTTATCCTTTAATGACCAGCTGAAGGAGGGACAATCAAATCAGATGTTTTCTCAGTTCTCCTCCTTATCCTATGCTTAATCCATTTCACTCCCTGCCTGTGTAGCATAGGGCTGTCCCTTTTGCTAAGTCTGCTGAGAGTGTCAGCAGTCTTCTTGTGACAACCGCAGTGATGCAATAAGAGTTATTAAAAGGTAGTTAGCAAAGCAGAGCAAGCAAGCTGCTTTCAACTTAGCGTAACCTGAAACGAGCAATGAAGTATCCTCTGGTGCCTTTGGTGAATGATTTGACCTTTCCTCTTCTTTTCTTCTGGCTTTGTTTGCCGTTTGCACTACTGTTGATCTTAACGATTATCTGGCTACAGCTTTTACTTAACGAAGGTAAGTTCTGCACTTGATGGGATAAATGCTTTTGCATAAAGGCTTTATGTATTAGCATTCTACTAGCTATTTTTAGCCTAATACCACTTGTAGATGGAAACTAAAGGGTTTTTTTTTTTTAGTACTGTTGGTAGCATACAGAAAATCAAACTCAGATTATTATGTATTTCTGTTAAAAATATTTATAGGAAGACAGATTGTTGCTAGCTGTTCTTCCTTACTCTCTGCCTTTTTCTCAGAGGAAATTTAATTTAGGAAAGTCAAAAGGCAGATCACTTTCTTTAACCTCTTCCCCCTCCCTAATCCCCAGAAAACAAACCTAATTCTCTGATTTTGTAAATTTTCAATCGCTTGCATTATAGTTCACCTGCATTTCTCCTTTGTGGGGGTCACCTGTGAAACTGTTAAGGGATTCTTGTATCAGTGCTGAGGCGGATAGAAAACTTCAGGGGGAGCAGGACGTGCGCTTTCATTTATTTGTATTTTCCATCTCTTTCTGATCCACCACTGATAATTGTTTCTAAGATGTCAGTAACTAATAACAGGCTTTGGTTTAGGCTAATAATAGGCTTGTTGATGCACTCATAGGGATAAAGCATTGCTAGTTTGCTGTAATCCTGGAGCATAAGCAACCACAGCTGGGGAATCAATCCAAAGTTCAAAAGCAGTGATTCTGCCTTTGCAGAACAGCTGCAGGAAATAAGAATGAAATTCAACAGCAATAAGCCTTTAGTTCTGTTTGGTACAGTCTGTTTTTACTTAATATTGTGGTATCCAGCCCTATAATAGATCCCATAGAAGTAGCAACAACAGATGATTCCTTTGGACAGACGGACAGCAGTGGAACATAAGGTACTTGCCACAGCAGAGACTTGCGCTCCTCCCTCCTTTCTGTCCTGCATGTGCCTGCACGTTGCATTTTGACTTTCAGCTCCCGTTTTCCAGCCTTAACAAACAGCTGATGCTCACAACGGCCTCTGCTTACTGCAGTACTACGGTAGTCCGTGCCCCACACGCTCAAGCACGCTCTTGCGGATATCTGATCATAGGAATTAAAAAGTGCAGGTTGTAAGAGTGACGGTGGTACAAGCTACGCTGAGTAGCATAGGAACGGCTGTCTTTTGATGTGTGGAGAGCAGAATAAAATGATATATGTGTTTTGTACAGGTGTAGGATAGCTGTGCTATGTATTTTCCCTTAGACGGGGTGTCAAGCTTTTGCCTAGTAACGCTAGCATATCTTGATGCCTTCAGTGAGGTTTTTCAGGTTATTTGAACTGTATTTACCCTCACAATTTCTGGCCTTAGGGTGGCTGTTATTATCACTAGGCCTCCAAGGCCTAGGTACACTTGCAGATTTTGATATACTAGTTGTGTCTGTAAGACGAGGGCATTAGAGTGTTTCTCAATCAGTCTCCAGAGCAAAATAAAAGTGTGAACACTTTTTTTTAAACTTCTTCTGGGCTAATTCACTCAAATCTGCTTATTTTATGCCACCTTACAGAAGACACGAGTAAAAAAGCTGGTATTTATTTCGACTCCTCCTTTAACAAAATTACTGATTAAGCTGTAATTGGTTACAATCAAACTTTTTTACAGACCTCTTATTCTGAATGTCTAGTTGAGCTTGGGAAATCCTTTATTCCAGCTGA